AAAATTATATTATATAAATATATATATATATTTTTTTCTTAGATAAAAAGGGAAAAACACCTAAAAACATGAAGGCTGCTATAGATTCTCCTTTTTCAGGTCGTTTTGTTGGGGATTTTTTTGGAATGTATTTACTTAATGGAGTGTGTTTTCACTTTCCTATTCTTTTCTTATCTTTCTATTTGTTTATTTAGCCTTTTTGCCATATATATATCTTTGATCCAATAATTCCGAATTTAGATTAGAAATCCAGGCAACACTCTCCAAAGGTGGGTCCCATAGCCATGGAAGTGGACCCACTAAGATACAAATCCAAAGAAGCAAGCCAAGAAGAAAATGAGAAAGAAGAATGGTCTCAAATTTCCTCTCTTCTCATCTACACCTCTGTCTATCAATGGCCCTCACACTCTTTAACTTTGAGTCCACCCAAAGAGACGTGGATTCCATTTGTTGGCCACTATTTTCCCTCCATCCTCTGTAAATTTCTTCGTTTTTGAATGAATCTTGATCTGGGTTTTGGTCAATTTTCAATCTTTTTTGGTGTTTTTTGTTGATTTCGTCAGCAGTTGAAGTCTTTTGCTGTTGGGTTTCCTGAAACCTTGCGAAAAAGTCTATTATTTTGTCCCATGTTATCTTTGGTTGCAATTCCTTATTTCCTTTCTGTTGTCAATTAAAACATGTTCATAGTTTTGTTTCTTGTGTTTTTGCAATAAGTTTGTCCGTGATCTTGATTAGAGATTGATGAATTACTAATTGTTAATCATGGAGCTTAATCTGGATCTTACTTACTTAATGACCATACCTTTGAATCCTTTGTTCTTCAAGCTTACTCTGTAATTAGGGCTATAAGCTTATTCTTCCATTCTGTTGGATCTTCTATAATCTTTAGTGGAAATTGATTGAACAATTACGGTTATTTTTATTGCTTTCTACTCATTGTTAATCTGGGGTCTTAATCTTGATTTGTTTCCTCAATCCTTTTCCTTGTGGGGTTCAATTTTCATTTTTTTTTTTTGGTATTTTGTTAAATTTTTGGGGAGCTTTTGTGATTAGAGGAATTAGATGTTTGGTAAAACAATGAATTTAGTTACAACAGTTATAGGATTTGCAATGAGTGCCACTTTCATTGTATTCGTCTGTGCTAGACTCGTTTGTGGGCGTTTTCGTCGATACGAATCACGTGAATTGTTCGAGATTGACTCGAGGATTGACCTTGAGAGGGTATGTTTTTGATCCTTAAACCTTTCTTCTTATATGTATAACATGTATGTTGATAAATACTTGCAAAATAACTTGGATATTCATACCATATATGCTTGTTTGATATTTTTCTGAATTTGAATTCAAAATTTTGATCAATAAGAGCGGAAACTAATTGATTCCGTGCTTGTAAATGGTTCGTTTACGGTGTTGAAATTGAACTTCAAGTAGCTTGGAATGTTCATTGAAACAATGTCGGGTTTATGATTAGCAAGATAGATAAATTCCCCGTAGAAGGTTCATAATTTTAGAATTTCCGAAAATACCCTTATTGCTATTCGATCTAGTTACACAAATTTATAAGGAAAACTTGTAATCATAATTTTTGCATGTGATATGAAAGTTGCGTGCTTTGGATTCTTCTATATAGAATTCGGTAGGTATTAACTTTTATGTAAAGTCAAAAAGGTTTGTATGACTATTATTAAACAATCGTCTAATATATATCCTTCATATCAGATTTTTGTAGATAAATTAGATACTATGAACAAATAGGTAATGTTAAATTCAAGCTATCCCAACATGGGAACTTTTGTCATTGGGCCAAATCATTAATTTGTGTATTATAGCATCCTATTTTTATTTCCTTATATCATATGATTGTATTTACATATTTATGTTTATATTTTCGGTTGTTGTTTTTGCATTTTAATGACAGCAAGAGCATCGGGTGGTAGGCCTTGAACCAGCCATGGTTGCAGCCATTCCTACAATGAAGTTTGACCGTGAAGCATTCGGTTCCATGGATGATGCCCAGTAAGTTTAGTCCTTCTCCTACCCACCCTACACCCTACACCCTGTCTTATATAATCTTTAGCTCTTATTCCATGGTTGGTTTGACTTTTGTTGACAAATGACAGGTGTACTATATGTTTAGGAGAGTATCAAGAGAAAGAGGTGCTAAGAATAATGCCAAAATGTGGGCATAGTTTTCATCTTTCTTGCATAGACATGTGGCTGAGAAAACAGTCAACGTGTCCTGTTTGTCGCCTTTCTGTCATTGCCGGAAACAGCCCCGAGATTTCAAGGGAGATTTCGTTGGAGCGGTCTCGTCAGTGGCTCCTACCCCACCATGGTCAAGGAACTAGTCAAAGTCAAAGTCAAACAGATTCCGCCATGGGAGTTGCAGAAGGAGGAACAGGAACAGAAGCAGGAAGATGATATATTATAGATTATGAGAAAGTTGAAAGATTTGGGATTGGTGTATATTATATGGTTGCTTTTGTTTTTCCTATTTTTGTTTTAATTGTTTGCATTGTGGAATTTAACACATGAAAAAAATTGCTTGTGAATGCCTGTACTCACTCCTTATCAAAATCACAAACATTAATCATAACGGTTTTAATGTATATTCATTTTAGCGAACTGACTGTTTTTATTTATCCGAAGATCGGAAAAAGTTTAGTTGGTATGCTTTTGTCACTAAAAAGTGACTTGAGATAACCTGCAAAAATGTGAATGTAGATGACGATGATGATGAAAATTGAAAAGAATAGTATTCGTATTTAGTTCCCTTAGATGGACAAAAAGAATAATAAATTGTCTAAAATGAAGATACATGAAAAGTTGGTTGCTATTACAAGCAATTTAGTATTTGCCCTTGACTTCTTTCGTTCTATTAATTTCTTTATTTATTTACTTGCAGGATATTTTGTACACATGATTTTATTTAAATTTAAAAAAAAAAAAAAAAACTTGGTTAAAATTTAGAACATTACATCATGATCGGTGACACTTTGGTGATATGCCTATTCATGGCAATAATTTTTTTACATTTTTTTCTCGGGTTTAATTTAAAAGGAAAAAACAAAACTAACTAAGAAAATGAAGTGAAACTTTTCTTTCTAATCATCTCATTTTGAAGGGATAGATTTTGAAAGAAAAAGTTTTACTTTCCTTCTTAAATTAAGTTAAAATATATATATATATATATATATATATATATATATATATAATATATATATATATATATATATATATATATATGGTTGTCTTTTATTTTCTTTCCCTTAAAAAAAAATTCTACCATCTTAAAAAAAAAAAAAAAAACACATTTCCTTCCCCCTTCTTAAAAAAACTCATTTGATTTATTTTGTCTTTGATATCTTTTCCTTTAAAACAAAAAAGCACTATCTTTTACATCTTTCCGTTCCTTAAAAAACAAAAAAAAAAATAAAAAATTAAAAAAAAAAACTCGAAAGGGGGTGGTAAATATTGGATTGAAGGGTCTATCTAGATACTTCAAAGTAAAAACCTAAAGGAAAAAGATCCAAAAAAAACAAAGAAGAAACCTCCACCAGTTATTGCTGATGAACAGGATTAAAAATCACCCGTAAGAGAAAGACAGGGCAAAGTGTGTGTTGAAGAAGCTGCAAGAATGGTGGCACACCTGGGTGTCAACTCCTTCGCCTCTTCTTGTCATCTCCTTCATTCTTCTCCCCAGTTATCTCTCTGTCTGCATAAACCCATAGTCAGTAAGTATCATTTCAATAAAAATATCAAGATTCTCCCTCTTAACTTTTTACCTTTTTGTTTATAGTAACAAAAGGTCCAATCTTTAAGCCTTCTGAAACTAGACCCATTTTCAATTTCATGAGTGTTTGGACCAAATTTTGTGAAAGAAGTAGGATATTGACAGTACCCACCATTAATCTTTAATCCGATGAAAATTTTAATCAAGATTCCGGCTATTCTTCCAGGGTTTTAGCTAATAGCAGCACGAAGTTTTAGTTTTTGAGCCTTTTCAAATCAACCCGATTAAATGCCATGTCTTTTTCAACCAAATCACTGTCAAATTAGGAACGACTTTTACGTTTTAAGGGGATTAACAATTGCCCTCTTAAAATTGTGAAGTGTTATTCGATTTTGCATCAAGTTGTTTAGCTTTTGCAATCCTAATAAATTAAGTGAATTTTGAATGTATGTTTGTTTATTGTTCTCTGTTTAGTGATCTTTCTAATTTTAAAATCTCTCTGGTTTGAACTTCGACCAATTTATTGAAATTCTTGTGGGCTTGAGAAGTATAAGCATCAACACTTTCACTCACTCATATGGCACAAAGATTCAATCTTTGAGCTTTTTCTAAGATCAGCCCACCATACGTTTTCATGGATTTTAACTCGTTTCATATGTGAAATACTGAAATATAGTGAATTTTCCACCACATCCCATGTTCTTTTCATCTTGACTACACAATATGATTTAGTCTTCTCTCTAATTCCTTTCCATTTGGTGTTCTTTTTTATTTTACCCCCATATGGGGCTCCTCTTCCATTTGAGCTTTACATTTCCATCCAAAACCACTATATTTTATTTTCTGGCATTTTCATAAGAAGTACGGTTGGTTTGCCACAAAAAGTATGCTACAATGGTTAAAGAAGCCGATCACTCTATACTTAGTCTTGAGTTTTATCTCTAAATCTTGTTGAAAAGTAATATTAAAGTTTTTGCTATTTGATAGTGGCAACAGTAAGTACAGATCCAGTAAGAGAGTGGATTCTAACAGAAGGAAAAGCAAGTCAAATAACAGGGATTAGTCCTGTTGGTGGTGGTTGCATCAATCTTGCCAACCGATACACTACTGATGCTGGTTCTTTCTTTGTTAAGACAAACAGGTTACTTTTAAAATTGACCTGTGTCAAAGATTTCTTATTTTGTTGGCTGTCATTGATAGGTCTACTTTCTCTAAGGGCGATTTTGTCATTTTACTTACCACGATGCTTATAAACTTGGTTTTAGGAGTATCGGACCGGAGATGTTTGAAGGAGAGGCTTTGGGGTTAAGTGCAATGTATGAAACAAATTCGATTCGTGTTCCTCAACCATATAAAGTTGGTGCATTGCCAACTGGAGGTTCATATATCATCATGGAATTCATAGAGTTTGGTTCATCGAGAGGTGATCAGGTAAACAAACACTAAGGGAATGTCTGGTTTGCATAATGTTATTGAAAGGAACGAAAGCTGTCAAAGGAATTGGAATCTGATGCACGCATGGAATGGAATTTAATGATAAAAGTTGAATAGTTTTTCAATCCTCGCATACTTCAAATTTTATTTTTATTTACATGTAATAAAGGTATTTTGGTCTATTAACAAAAAAGGAAGTATGGAATTTGAAGGAATCTAACGGAATTGAACTCCATCCATTTGGCTACCAAATACACCATGGGATGGAATCTCAAATTCCAATTCTGTCGAATTACATTGAAATCCACAAACCAAACACACCCTAAAACTCGCTTTCATTTCAATAGTGGTTTTCAAATTTCTTTAGGTTTAATTTTAATTTGCTTTTTAATTTAGGCTGTACTAGGGAGGAAACTTGCGGAGATGCATAAAGCAGCAAAATCTGAAAAAGGATTCGGATTTCATGTCAACAATACCATTGGCAGGCATGTTTACCTCTCTTTTGCTTACACACTGTTATGAACTGGTTTGTAATCACAGATTCAATAACAGATAAACAAGCAAATGATGCTAATATTGATTGAAAACACTCAATAATACCAAATGTTTACAAGAATGAAGAAGAATGAAGATAGTTTGGCTGATTCGAGATAGCCAATCTCCCAGAGGAATTAATTCCAAATTTCACACAAAAGATCGATGCCTCACTCCCTGCCCACTACCCTTTACTTATGCTATCTAACATAACAAACTAATAATATGAAATGCCCAAAATACCCCTAATTCTCCTTACACTAGTAAGATGCTTTTTATTTGTTGATTTCCCAAACTACCCCTATCTAAAATAACATGATCTAGTGGATGCATAACACACACTTGCATGTATTATTTGTAGGGTGCATATTAGTTTTCTATTATACATTGGACTTTTGTACATGAATATTATGAACTTCCGGTCAAACAATGATAGCTCACGTTTACCTTTCATCTGTTTACACGCACTTGCACTTACACACATATTGTAGTAGGACGGAGATGAACATAAGTTCATTAAATTTGCTAAAGTTATAATATATATTATTAAAAACTATATTTCTTTTTTGGTTAAATGCAAGATGTAACAACATACTTTCGTTTATTAGTTTATGATAACATCCTACTTTCATTTCTTCCGGTTACAACATTGTCTTCTAAAATCCTATATAAAATAACAATTTTCACTGCCATAACTCGGCATATTTTTCAGAGTACACTGCCTTAATAAGAAAAAAAGCTGAAAAATACAATGTTGTAATAAAATAAATGAAAGTAAAGTTGCGAAAATGGTCTCATATATTCCCAACAACTTTGTGAGTTAAATATAGAGTAAATCACACGAATGGTCCCTATGGTTTAGGGTAATTTGCACGTTTGGTCCCTAACTTAATTTTTAAACTCGGAAGGTTCCTACTATTTGTTTTTGTTACGCTCTTGCTCCCTGTCTTACCTAAAAAGACTATTTTACCCTTGATTTTTTAATTTATTTAAATAAACACACCCCCAACCCCACCCCCTTCACTTTACCTTACCTACCTCACCATTTTTCTCTATTTAAATAATAGTTTTTTTAGGAAAGATAGGGACCAAGCACGTAACAAAATCAAATTGTAGGGACCAAGCGTGTAACTAAAACAAACAGTAGGGGCCTTCCGAGTTAAAAAAATAAGTTAGGGATCAAGCGTGCAAATTACCCCAAACCATAGGGACCATTCGTGTAATTTACTCTTAAATATAATAGAGAATTTGATACAAGAATATACGTGGAGAACTTCCAACCAGAAAAACTCATGGGCATGGGAGAGAAAGATTCACCACGGCATTTGTGAAAACTTGCCGAAAAAATTTGATACAAGAATATACGTGGAGAACTTCCAACCAGGACAGTGATTTGGTAATGCTCACCCTTACGGGACTTCGAAAGGAATACAATGGTCTCAAGGCCAACTTATGGGCCCGTGTGCCTCGTGTCAGCTTCAATGAATTACATGGCCTTCTATGTGATTATGATTATGTCTTCACAAAAATGATGACTGCCACTCCCCAAGCTTTCTTGGCAAATACTTCTTCGGTTCCACAATCATCATCGGTTGCTATTCTTTCGGTTCAACAACTGAATATTGATAATCTTCAGCAACAACTACAAAACGTTCAACTAATGGCCAGCCACTCAGTTGGGTTATCAACTACACCCCATTCAATCTCCACAACCTCAAGCTCATTTTGGTTCTCAGTCTTTCAATAATAACCGAGGCGGTCGTGGATCTCGTGGCAACTCACGTGGTGGTTTTAATCGCTCTTGGGACAGCAGTGGCACACGACAATTTTATTGGGCCTCCACCCAAATGGCTTTGTTGAAGGACGTCATCGTCACGTTGTGGAAAATGGACTCTCTCTTGGCTCAATCCAGTCTTCCTCAACGCTTTTGGATCTTTGCTTTTGAAACGACTATATACCTCATAAATCGCCTCCTTTTTTTGTTTGATCCAACAAATCCCTTTTTGAGCATGTCTTCAAATGTAACCTCATTACTCTTTGTTACGAGTTTTTGGCTGTCAATCTTTTCCTTTTCTTCGTCCGTACAATCATCACAAAATTGAATTTCGGTCTACTCCTTGTGTTTTTCTTGGCTACAGCCCTGCTCACCATGGTTATCACTGTCTTGATCCATCCATTTATTGAATTTACATTGCTCGGCATGTTCGCTTCAATGAACACGTCTTTCCTTGTCAGCCTTCACCAACACCTCCACCACCTTCTACTCCTCCTTACATCTCTATTTTTCCCGACCCACCACCCGTTTTTCCATCTGAACCACCATGACCTCCTTAATCTCCTCCACCACAATCTCCAACAACTAATACCAACCTATCACCTCCATCACCAGCTCCTCAGCCTCTGCCATCCAACCTTAACCCTAATCTTAAACAACCAAATCGATACAACCTTGCTGCCTACACTGCCTCCACCTCCATATATCCTCCCCTTGAACCTACCAGCTTTACCATTGCTAACAAGTCTTCAAAATGGTATCAAGCAATGGCCGAAGGGCTATCTGCGCTCCACAGGAATGACACGTGGACCCTTCTGCTCCTTGTCCTCTAATGCTAATATTGTTGCTTGTAAATGGGTTTACAGGGTAAAAACTGATGAACATGGAAAGATTACCAGGTACAACTCCCGTCTCGTGGCAAAAGGCTTTAATCAATAGCATGGTGTGGACTATCATGAGACTTTCAGTCCGATCATCAAGCCCGCCACCATTCATACGGTTCTCTCTCTAGTTGTCAGCAACAAATGGCCTTTCAGACAGTTAAACATCCAAACCATCTTTCTTCATGGAGATCTTGAGGAAACAGTGTACATGCGCCAACCTCCGCTAACCTTCAGGCTTTATTGATCAAACCAAACCCGATCACATCTACTTGTTGTATAAATCCTTGTATCACCTCAAGTAGGCTCCTCAGGCTTGGTTTACAAAGTTGTCTACTGCGTTTCATCAGTTGGGATTTTATGGGTCCAAAACCGATCCCTCCCTTTTTATACTAAACTCATCCGACTCTCTTGTCTATCTTTTGGTTTACATGGATGACATCATCATTACCGGTAACAACTCCACTGCTGTAGCCTCAATCATTTAGAAACTCAATTCTCTCTTTGCACTTAAGGATATGGGTCAACTACACTATTTTTTGAGGGTTGAAGTTGTTCACAAGGATTCTTGGTTCTTTCCCAACAGAAATATGTTTGTGAGATCTTTACACTGTGCTTGTCTTGCTGAGTGCAAGCCAATATCAACCCCTATGAGCACCGCTCAAGTGCTGTTACCCGATGATAGCCCCTTACTTGATGATCCTTCTTGCTACAGGCAAACAATAGGAGCTCTTCAGTATGCTACTCTTACTCGCCCTAATATTGTCTTTGTAGTTAATAAAGTATGTCAGTTCATGCACGCTCCAACTGCGAACCATTAGGCCGGTGTCAAACGCATCCTTCGTTATCTTAAGCGCACCATCGACTTGGGATTATGGATTCGACATAATACGGGGTATCAACTTCAAGCCGTTTCGGATTCCAATTGGCACTCCAATCTTTAGGCCTTCTTGGACTCTGATTGGGTTGCCAGTCGAGTCGAGTCGATTCATAGGGGGATTTGCTATCTATTTAGGTTCGAATCTCATCTCTTGGTCTGCTTGCAAGCATAACTGTATCTCGATCTTCAACAGAGTCCGAGTACAAGACTATTGCTGATAATGTTGTTGAATTGATTTGGTTGAAGTCGTTGCTTGGAGAACTTGGTTTGGTTAGCATGGCACCCACACTTTGGTGTGACAATCTTGGTGCGACATATTGCATGGCTAATCCAGTCTTTCACGCTCATACTAAACATGTTGAAGTTGACTATCATTTTGTTCGTGAACAAGTAACTCAGGGAAAACTAAATGTCAAGTTCATCTCTACAGACGACCAAATTGTTGATATGTTTACAAAGCCTCTGTCATCTCAGAAGTTTGAGTTTTTGCGTTCCAAGTTGCAGATTGCTAACCACCCTCAACTTGCGGGGGAATATTAACCTGACTTGGTAGTTTAGAATTAGATTGTTATTATTATTATTCCTTAGGGTATCAAAGTGTAAATATTCTTTTCTTTATATTTGGTTGTAATCTCACCAAATCAATCAATGAATTCAAACAATATCAATTCCTTATTTTTTATTCAAACGCACCATTAATGTCGGTTTTAAACAAGTTGATTGTTGTAGTTTTAATAAGCTCAAGTCTTGGCATGTAGCACACCGCAGATAAACACATGGACATCAGATTGGGTTGAGTTTTACTCTAAGCATCGCCTGAACTTTCAACTTAAGTTAGCACAACAACAATTTGGCGATTCGGCTATATATGAAAAAGGTTTGTGATCTGAAATTAATTCCCGAGGTTCAAGAAAATAATTAATTTGCATATTGACTTTTTGAATTCAAACCAAAACCATCTATTTCAAGCACCAACTCGAGATGGGTTCGTGAAATTTTCTTTCTGCAAAGAAAAGGATGTTAACTTCACAAAACTTATTAACATTCACTTCGAACCATATATCTTGTTTTTCAATGGTTCAAGCTTTTATGATATTTGTTTTGATCTAAATGCAGGACAAAGATTAGTGAAAAATCTTGGAGCTTTGTTTGAAGATGTAACGATCGAGCCGTGTTTATTACATGGAGATTTATGGAGTGGGAATATCAGTTCAGACAAGAATGGGGAGCCTGTTATACTCGATCCCGCTTGTTACTGTAAGTACTCATTTCGATTCCAGAGTTCCATTTTTAATCACATCCTCTGTTCCATTTCACTCTCTTATTTTGTAAATTTGTTTTCTTGAATGTTACATAGATGGACATAATGAAGCAGAGTTTGGAATGTCATGGTGTGCTGGATTTGGAGGGTCTTTCTACAACGCTTATTTTGAGGTACATACCTACATTTAGCTTTTCTGCTTAATGACTTAAACCGATCATATTCAAAATCCAATATCTATCTTTCCCGTATATGAAATTATAATACACTGAGCACTTTAGCAGAGCCATTTACAACAAATTTGATTGGTTTGCTCTATGATGGACAAGTGCGGTATTTGACCATTGCCTTTTGTGTTGCCTTTTAGGTGATGCCAAAGCAAGCAGGATTTGAGAAAAGGAGAGATGTTTATTTGTTGTATCATTACTTGAACCATTACAATCTCTTTGGTTCTGGTTACCGATCATCGGCCATGTCCATCATTGATGATTACCTTAGCATCTTAAAAGCTTAATTAGGTGATGCCAATATGGACAACTGTGGTATTTGTCAATCCAATCTGTATCTCTTTATGATATGGTATGATACTAAATCACTTAGTAAGAACCAAATTTTAGTGTATTTCCATTACTCATGTTGGTAAAAAAATAACATGTTTGGGGTAAAAATATACTAAAAAAAAAAAAAAGAATACATGAATACATGATAAGTAGATAGCCTTACTCTTCTAGTCCATATAACAAGAACGTGATGAATAAAAAGGTCATCTTTCCCAAAAAGAAAGTCATTTTCTTGCACATTGAATCAAAATCATGTTTAAAACGATTTCACATGTGTAGTTTAACCCATAATGTAATACGGGTAAAAGGTAATTTAGAAGTAGTAACACTACACTATTAAGTATTAACACACTACACTACACTAGTAACACGTTCTCATATCCAGTTTCAACAACAGCTGGGTAGACAAAATTGCAAGTTTGGTCCAAAATGTTTTGGAGTTACACCGGTGCTCAAAAAGGTTTCATTTGTTGTGAATGGGTCCAAAGGCTTAAGAGCCGTTTATGACCTTTGTTCAGGTGAGGGTAAATCTGTAAATTCACATATTCTTCTTTAATCTCTAATTAATTTAATAGCCCCTAATTAAATGATACCTACCGCCAAATGCTAATTAGATTTTTATTGATTCCATCTCCTATCCCCTTCCTCTTTCATTACGCAGATAAAAAGCCCTAATCACAAAGTTAAGGTTTTTTATGTTCTAATTAGAGATTCACTTGGTGTATGAACATACCAATGTGAAATTTCAGGCTCTTAGACAAACCATTCAACACAAATGTGGCTTATGGTCGAGACTTTAAAGGATGATGCTCGAAGTTCTGCAAATAGGGGATTTCTAAAAGACTAGGACAAGCGTCAATTTTTAAAGATTCAAGAGTTGTAAGGCCTTGGATGCTCTTAATGGACACCAGATTGTAGCAGCCGTATATGTATAAGGAAACAAGAGGATGGGGATGACATTCATCTAAGTGAATGATCTTTTGGCAATGTTGAATGCACAACTTCTCGAGAACGGGTGATAACACTGTTGAGCTGCTTGTTGCTGTATCTATCCACTTTTCCAGTCTTCTCATATGTGATAGTTGGAAGGATCTTAACGATGGAGACATTGATCCAGTATTAAAATTGTCGCCTTGGCCTAAACAACTGCTTAAGCATGTCATGTGGTGCATGATATTCTCCAACTCAAGATCCCGAAGAAATGGTAGGTGTTGGAAGATTGGCACAGTTGTTACATCCAGATACTTTTGATCTTCACGAGCTTGTGAAGGGGTGTCCATTTCCCTTCAATGTTGGTTGCCATCCTAGTCACCCATTCTGGAAAACTGTCATTGTAAAAGTTTACAATTGACAGGCTTCTTAAATTTCCATGGGGTTGCAGGCCTTCCAATACATCTTTGTCATTTTGGTTGACAACTCTGTACTCACTCCAACGAAAATGAACCTGACATAAATTGCTAATATGAAGCTCTCCAGCTAGGTGCTTCAAATCAAAGGACCTAGCTCTGAAATTTGACATCTTTTCTCTCGACCCACTCTAAAATCAGGCAATGTTCTTTCTTAGAGAAGTCAATCGCCCCACGTTACGTATGGGTTTGTGCCCTAGAAGTATCAAAAATCCTGTATACATCAAATGGCGCAAGCTTATCAACTTGCTTATGCTTCGAGGCAATTGCTTGAGAAAACAGCCAGACAGCTTCAGAGTTTGCAAATGGTAAAGTTTAACAATAGATTTCGGAAGAACTTTGATTTTGGTACATGACAAATCAAGATACCTAAGATGCACCAACTCTCCAACTGAATTGCTTGAGAAAACAGCCAGACAGCTTCAGGGTTTCTTCACCTCACGCCTCAGCATTTCATAATGAATCTCATCCAACACATCACCGGCTTCATTGACCACATGTGTGAGCTGTTTCAGCCACACCATCACAGCTTCTGTTCCCTTTTGTCTCTCTGCATCACGTAACTTGGCACGAATCAGGTCCAAGGTAGTGTGAAGGGTGGTCAACTTTTCTTCGTAACCCCAAGCAATCGCAATTTCAGCAGCAGCTAAAGACAATACTTTTTTCAGTATCGCTTAGCAGTCATACTGACTAAAGCTTGAGCCATTTTTACTGGGGAGAGAGAGAGAGAGAGAGAGAGAGAGAGAGAGAGAGAGAGGCCCAAATTCATTAATTATTTTATTTTTTCTTTAAATTAAAATGAAAAAACATAAAAACTATATTGAAAAGGGCATTTTAGTCTTTTCAATTTTTTAAGGGACCAAAATCACAAACAAACATGGTCAAAAGGACCACAAATCCAAAAAAGTTAGGATTTGAACTAAAACCCCAAAAAAATGTATATCATAGGGATTTTTTTGCAATTTTGTCTAAAATAAATTACAAATAGTTTATGGGAGACCATTAGTTTTCTTTTGAGAATATTTGTTTTGGGCGATGATTAATATACTATTCCTTTGGTTAAAAATAAAAAGTTTATTGTTTTTTGGTTTAAAATAAAATTATGTTCTTTTTTATTAGAGTAAATTACTTAAATGGTCCCTATGGTTTGGTTAAAATTATACGTTTGGTCCCTAACTTTTTTTTTTTTGCACTCAAATCGTCCATATGGTTTGATTTTGTTGCGTTTTTCATCTCTTACATACATAGAGTTAGGGACCAAACATGCAATTTTGACCAAACTATGGGGATGAAAAATGCAACAAAATCAAACATAGGGACGATCCGAGTGCAAAAAAAAGCTGAGGACCAAACGCGTAATTTTGATCAAACCATAGAGATGATTACAGTAATTTACTCTTTTTATTATAAGGTTCGATGGGTAATACTTAAATTTATTGATCTAATAGTTTATTATTATTATTTTTTTTTGAATTTAATATAATGTTAGTTTTCTTTTAGCGGAATGTAGGAGGGGTTGAAATTGTTTTTTTATATATAAATAATTTCATTTAGGCAATTAATAGTTTTCTTTTTACGGATAATTATTAGTTCAAGAAATTAAACTTTTGATCCATGTTCAATTATAAAATGATAGATAGTAAATTAATCAAAATAGTAAGTAAAATTGTCAAAATGTTAACATAATCTTCCTTTGTTCATTGTGTTCCAAGTTTTTTAAAACTTTATATCATCCTTTAATGAAAGTTATAGGTTCAAACAATTTTTTAATTTTTAATTTTTATTTTTTGTGGCTACCTCAAATAGAGTTTTGTTGAATTAAAATATGCTTATGTACTTGGCTATCATAGACCTAAGATATATTTTAGCAATTAGTAGCAATTAGTCTGAGTGTCTATAAGTTTTTTAAAACTTTATTAAAGTTATGTCTTTGAAAAAATAAGGCCAAGTAGAAAGGAATAAATATGTTTAAATGAAAAAACTTAACTTCTTTCTTTAATAAAATAAGGTACTTTTATATTCACAACAAGCACAATAAAATTATGTAATTTATTCATAATTCTTAACCATTTGATTTTGAAATTATTAGTTAATCGTTATATTACACATAAAAACAACCAAAATACCTTATCAATCTCCAATCCCCACAAAGGCAAGAGTGTGAACTCTTGGTTTTCTAAATGCACTTACACGAAGGTAACAACAAACTATAGCAAATGAACTCATGGTTTACTTGAAGCTAACCAAAGCTCATAAAAGAATAAAAAAATCACTAACGACAAATTAAAGCTAATTAGCTCATGCTCCTTGAGTCTACTTGTACCAAGAGGAAAAAAAAATAATCTAATCATTATTTATCCTTCCTTCTTTTTGATTGGTGTGTGGCCCCCTACAAATTACATAGATCGGTAAGTAAATTCAAAGGTTTGGAACATCAACTTACTTTTCAATTTTGAAATAAAACCTTTTAAAAAAAAACGTGGAATAGCATCCTACTTTTCAAAATATGTAAAATAATCTTCTTTTTCGAAGCAATGACACTACATTCCAAGCTTATGTACATGTACTTTCCTTTTCGAACTTTAGAAAGCAATTGTCGTTTACATTTTCCTTGTTTTAAAAACATACCCAATAAATTGACAATCCAGTTGATTATCAAGTATTACTTAATCAAACTATTTTGGATAATCAGTTTGTTTTATTTAATGACAATTATCTAAATCTTGAGAATAGAAAAAAAACACAACTTGATAGAGCATTCAACCTGACATAAATGTTGATAATATGTTTGTTTAGTTAAAATGCGAGACCATTGGATACGTTTTCATAGTGAAAATGAGAATACATCTATAACCTTTTCCAGCAACCTCCTAGAGATTTTAATCTGCAAAAAATAATATTATATTATATGACGACCATCTGGTATGAAAAAAGTAAGATGTGAATGTATGAATATATAAAAGTAGGATGTTATTATGAAGAACACATGAAAGTATGGTGTTATTTAAAGCTTTGTATTATAAAGAGCAGTAAATAGCATCATTGAGAGATGATATATACCCTTTCAATCACCCATACAGATGAATTTGAAAATCCCTTTGAGTTTGGTTACCATGATTGTACAGTATAAGGAACAATGAAAGCTTAAAATCGCTTGTAGAAATTAAAGTAACAAAGAAAAAAAAAAATGAAAAAAACCCAACCAAATGTGATTTCTTTCCGTATCAAATGAACCAAGCATTTCATCAAACTGTTGGCATGCAAATGAGCAAACATTTTCAAACGGTAACATCGGCCAAAGAAGAAATCACATGCAACAACAAATGCAAGAGCAAATCAATAAAATTGGGCCAAACAGATGAAAAAAAGAGAGACAGAATTGGAAAACATGTCACCTGAAAACCGATGACTCGGGAATGGAAAATGGGAGAGATGAATCGATAATGGAATGCTCTTGATTTTAGCCTCGACAGTGTCCAAAAAAATGTAATCCAATAAATCTTGACTTAATAAACAAAAAATAATTTAAGTAAAAGTAGTTTGCATATGATAAAACAATAGACAAAACTGATTGGATTCTCTTCACAAAATATCCATTGCTGAATCCTCAACGATTTAGGTTTGATTCGTTACCTTTTCCATTAAAACTGAGTAGGAGCCGGTAAACATGCGAATATGTACGCAACCACAACAAAA